CATTGGGAAGCAAGAGCTGCGACGCCGGCAGGACGCGTGAGGAAGGATGGCGGAGGCGGGGAGGGGGGCAGAAGGGACAGGACGTAGCAGCGTTAATTCAGTTCGCCACGCAGCAGAAGTTTTGGGAGAAGTGCAAGGAAGCCGGTGGGGTCTGAGCAGGCTCTTTTCACAGTTTTACAGCGCAGATCCCGCCGCTTCAGCGCGGGCCGCTGTTCTAAAAAGCCAACGCGGACAGGATTTAAAATTCTGGGCGTTTCGATACTCGAGGGATTATGTTAAAGTAACAGTATATCGGAGGTGTAGTATGTAGCGTAGCGTCTCTGCTAGCAAGCGATAAACCGGTGAGCCGAAGGGAGCCCGAGGCCGTTCCCGGGTGCGAGGAGGTGCTCGTGCAGCAGGGCAGGCGCTCCCGGGCCCCTGCCAGCTGGCCACCGTGCCCGGGGGCGGCCTCGGATACCTTAAATCAAGTGAAAGGGCCTTGGCAGACCCCTCTGCTAGTGTCACTCACCGCCACCAGCGTTGAATCAATCCTGAAGTTGAGCAAAACGAAATTTTGAAGGTATCGTTGCTCTAGGTTACGTTGCATACGTTGACCAACTTCTCGCTTTTCCAAACAAGTTTTGGGCTTTGCCTTGAGTCTTAAGAGCTTAAAACCTAGCTATGGTGAGTATTTCCCATTTCTCAGTAGCGTATGGTTAGTATTTTCCCGTGCAAAAGGAAGAGGGATAGGGGGAACAGGCCTAGTGCAGGTCTTTTCCGATATTCTCCCAGTCTGACCGCATGAAGACACCTGCAGAAAGGGAAACATCCACGTCTTACATACAAAACGGATTATTTATGGGTTTAATCAGGCTTCTTACGGAGAGAAAAACTTCTGCATGTTTGTATTCCATTCTATTTTAGTGCAAATATTTTCTTCATGCGCATTCATGTCATGCAGTCCTTAATGCATTTTATATCACGCTGTTGTCTTGGTGACTTTTCAACAGATGACGGCCTGCTTCCACGCTGCATAGAAGTGGGATAAAAACAGGAGATCCCAAGAGCCTGCTCGATGCTAGTAGACTTCTTGTTGGATATGCTTTGGCAGACTGTCCGTATCTGTCCAGGAGCGCTGTGTTAGCAAACAGCGTGCGAGGAGCAGACTTTCCAAAGCAGTAATTAGTTCTGAAAAAAAAGAACAATAGCAACCAAATTAAGTCCTCCTGCAAGGAAGTGCTACAGGCATCGAGTAAGCATTTAATACTCAAGGCAGAGTGACTTGTTGAGCGTTGTTAGGCTCCCTACCTTATACTTAGTGAATGGATAATATTAGCTGAAGAACGTGTTGACGGGTTAAAAAATCCGTCTTGCTGCCAACCTTACAGATCTAGTTTTGGACACTTTGAGAAACTTTGGAGCTGTAAAGATGTACTTAATTTTGCCTTCTTTCTTAGAACAGTGTGTTTGGGCTGTAACTGGATTTAAGTGCTACTTAAATCCTAGACTTGTCATCCCGAAAGTTTAAAAAAAAAAAAAAACAAAAAAACCCCACCTGTTTATATTGACCTTCAGCTACCTAAGTAACTACTTGGTGCATTTTCACAATGATACTTAACCGTCTCCCCATTTAAAGTGGAATTGATGACATTTATGAAATATTAAAAATATCGAAATTTGGAATAATTGATCAGTCTGAAATAAATTCCATTTCACTTCTGTGTTTTTAATTTTTCTTTAAAAAAAGAAAAGGGTGGAGGAAAAAAGCCCATCCCCAAACATACTCAGCTTTGGTTTCAAGCACTGATCAAATCCTCGTTCCTAGAGCAAGAACTCGTTTATGCACGAAGACAGTTTTGAGCCAATTCAACAACAGAAGTTTTGCTGACCTTTTTGCAAATTTATTTAGGCTGATGTTGTTTGCGCTCTTTACAAGAGGTCTTCTCAAGCAGTTATTCGCCACGCTCAGTATGGGGAGTGCTTTGGAAATATCTGTGAGCGAGGGAGACGTTTTTGCTGATGTACTCAAAGAGCACGGCACTTGCTGTAAGCAATGTATAATTTTTTTTTTGTAAGTTTAAACGAGCTGAACCTGCTCCTCTGTGTTTAAACCATTCTCAGATCGCTCGCTCCTCATTAAAACCAGAACCAGCTGCCTGGATTTTGCAGAAGTCCACTTATCGTATAGCGGGTTCAAATTTATCATTTGGGTTAAAAAATATTATCGGTAAAAAGCATTGATAGACTCTATTAAATGATAAGCCTGTGCTAGACTCTGGAGAATTTACCTGGCTGAGGTAAAACTATGCATTAATTTAGCTGCATTGATGAGATCTGTGACAAGGCGACAAGAATGCAGACGATGACCTGATTTTTACCCTCGTTTTAGCAGTGTGGAAATCAGTGCTGCCGATAGAAACTGCAGTGCAAAACTTGTTGCCTGTAGTTCATTGAGCAAAGATGCAGTGAAGTCTTCATCTTCTGCAGGATAACAGCTGGTGAATCATGCTTGCAGACTGTTGCACTAGGTAAAATACTCATTCCGAGAGTATAGTTTGGGAACTGAAAAAAATGAGACTTAACCATTCTGACAATCTTAATAAATTTGAAAGTCGCAAACTTAAAAGTAAAATAAAGCAAACTAAGCAAAGATACATTTTCTTTCCCTCTTTGCCTCCCCCCCCCCCCCCCAAAAAAAAAAAAATCAAATTCAGGATATTAAATTGTTTGCCTTCGCTTCAGGATAGGGAGGAAGATCTGTTTCCCGTGCTTAGTCCTGACTTAAAAAGGAAGCAATCTAGCTTCACTAGGCAATGTGCAATTTTGATTTTTTCAAGATCTTCTTGCCAACTCCTGCATGAAAACGTGCCTGCTGCTTCAAAGAGGTAAGATGTCCACAGACTTCACTCAGTTTAAGACTGGGGGGCTAAATTTTTCCCTTATAGGTTCCCGATAATTTTAAGTTTGACTCTATGCAATGCGTGGCTTTACCAGAGCTTGGATTTGGAAGATCCCAAAATGTTTCAAGAAGCAAAGAGTGCATTAACACATTAAATTCCTTTTTTCCCTTGCAGATAACAACAGTGACAAAGTTAGTATCAACAGCACTGGAGTTGAATTATGATGGTTTTTCTTGTCGGAATAACCAGCATGTATTATTGTTTTGCAAAATTATAGCCCTTATAGAGTCCTGTGTTTAAATTTTGCAAAACAGCTTCAGCTTTTTTAGTAACTTTTTAATGTAGTTAATGGTTTTGGTCTGCATTGGACATGACGTGATCTTGCTTCTCACCGTGTTAAATTTTGCAGCATTTTTAATTCCACAGAACGTTTGTGTGGTGTTTGTGCGTATTGATACGTTCTTGCTGCACCTGTGGCTAATTGGCTTTGGTAGGAAAACTGGTAAATCAGTGAAACGCAATCTTAAAACATAAATGGTTTGGGTATGGGTTGAAGGACACCAGGGATCGAATGCAAACAACAAAAATAAGTGTCACATCCATATGTTATTATTTGTGTCTATTGGGGATGATAAACACGACTGAGGTCTTGTTGGTTTTTTCTTTTTGTCCTCTTGTCTCAGGACTGAGTTACGGGAGAGCCTGTCTCCTTTAATTTGCCTTTGTCTCTGGCACCACCTTGTTGCCTCAAGGAGTCATTACCAGGAGGCTCTTCAGCTGTAAAAAAGGAAGCAGTAGGAGGTGTAAGGAGAAGGCGAGGGGAGAAGTCAGCAGGATACTTTCTTTATAATACCGCTTTCAACAAATGTGGAAGACTACTTGTATCTCTGTATTAATTGCTAGAATACAGCCAATTGCATGCGAATAATTACATTTCCATGTAACTCTGCGACTTTATTGCTTTAGTTTTTGGAGTTTATCTTTTCCATTAACTGTTCTGTTGTCCTGCTTCACGTTGTCTGCGTTCCTTGCTTGTACTTCATCCTGGAAATGCCACTGTCTTTGTTTCTGTGCCCCTCCCTCCACCAGTAGCTTTGAGGTGTAAGTACTTCGCTAATATCATGTGTCAGTTTTTAGTAAATTCAGGCTTTATTGTGATTTTGTGTGATACCTTGCAAATAATTTTTTAAGCCATTGCTTAAGTATTTTCTAATACATCCCACTGAGTAGGCCTAATTCGTACTTGTTGACAAATTAATAATTTACATCATTCTCATTCCTGTTTGCCACCTTTCTTTACCAGAAACACCTTGGACATTAAAAATACAGTGGGGAAATAGTGAGAAAAGCAAAATCGACTTTTAAAGCTTTTTTTTTTTAATAGAATTGTTATGTCTTTGGAGATAGTTTGGCAAGGTTAATCTGTAAGTCACGTAAAAATAAATATATGTGCGAAGAGTCTTTCAGAGGAATGCTTTGAGATATTTAGTGTAGAGTTTAGGAAGAAGATACGTAGCATGACTTTTCTGTTACCCTTTTCGAAACAGATCACTGCTGTTACGTGGGTTTTTTACATCGGTTACTGAAAGCAAAGCTTCAAAACCCTACATTCGTGTAAGCCTGCTAGCCCAGGGGTTGGTAGTCGCAGCTAGAATAACGTGGGGAAAACTGCCAGAGGGAATAATCGCTCCATGTCTTTGGCTTTCGGGGAGGGAACGGAGCATCGATAGCGCCACGTCGTGCTTTTGAACGGCTCCCTCTCTGCTTTCGAAGCCCTCGTTTCTGATCGCAGCCGTATCGATCGCATGGGATGTCCCGCGTGGCCGTGGCGCCCGGCGAGTGCTTTGGCTTTTGTGACCAAAGGGGACAGTTTGTCCAGGGCTTTCAGCGCGGGGCGCTCGATCAGAACTAAATATGCCACCCTGCTTCAGCACGGCAAGCAGAAAAGTGCCCCTCTGCTACCTGCAAGGATCTCGCCGAGAGCGTAAGCAAAGTGGCAGAGAGGGGAGTCTGTGCAGCAGTTTTGGGAGCAGAATGAGAGAACCGCTGCTAGTTGGATTTCAGGGCTCTCTCTCGCAAAACTAATTCGATAGGGTTAGCTTAGCTCCACTTTTGTTTCACCTTTCTTACTTTTTTTTTTCCCCTCTTGTTTTCTTTTTCTCTCTTATTCCTGTGTACGCTGGGAAAACTGTTCCTCTTGCTGTCCTCTTCTGTCCTCTCCAAGGAAAAACCCACCCAAACGGTAAATGTTTAAACTTGTAAATGTCTTGTTAAGAATTGACTCCTCCTGTTAAGCGCTTCCAGGAGCGAAACGAGGGAAAACATTTCAGTTGGATTGGAGTAATTACAAATCATCGCTTGGTTCGGAGAACTAAATCTGGGTTCAGATGTCCGTAGCGGTCCCTGCAGAAGCTGCCTTTAAATGTTGTGAAAAGCCCCAGTCCGCCTGTGTCTTTGTAGCCATCCTACACGTAGTGGTATGGCCCTAGTGAAGGTGCTTCCTCACGACTCTCTTTTTCCCCTCCTTGCCGCAGTCCGCCGCGGAAGCACATTGTGGATACCTATACAGAGTTTTATCACACCCCTACTCACAGCGATGCCAGCAAGAAGCGGCTGATCGAAGACACTGAGGACTGGCACCCCCGGACAGGGACCACCCAGTCGCGCTCCTTCCGCATCCTTGCCCAAATCACCGGCACCGATCATAGTGAGTAGCGTGACGTTGCGATGCCAGCCAAATAACAAATAGCCGTTTTTAAAAGGTGGTGGGGAATAAATAGATAAATAGATTTAATCGCATCTCTAATGTTTTTTACCTCGTGGATGATAAATCGAGGAGGCAGGATTTTGGTGAGCTCTTGAAAAGAAAAAACATTCAGAAGGCTACGTGGGAATAGGAAGATATTTTTGTACATCTCCCGAAATTGCTGAATGGCTCAGGACATGCACATTACTTGGCATTGTTCCCAACTTATTTGGATATTAATGTGTTCTAGATAAACCTAAAACTGCCGTTCCTGTTCCCAGAGACGTTAGCAGAAAGTCCATATTTGTTACTGCTCTCCCCTCCTGCATCACTGCAGGGGGGATGCTCCTATTCTGAATTAACACTCCGGGAAGTGCTGAGAAAAACTCTTAAGGCTTTCTCAGGCATGTAGAAAATGCTTGAGGGTCAGGCAAAGGTTGACAGTGTGCAGTGGTTTTACTGATCAGAAGCACGCATCTGTAGCTCCTCGGTGTATGCCAAGGGAATGTCTCCATCCTCTGCTTGCGGTATGATATGCCTACATGTACACTAAGGAGTAGAGTTGATGATGCAGAAAAAGTCTTTCGCAGTCGTTACGTGGAAAAAAACGTTGATTTCATATCATGCTGTCGTTTATAATTTACTGGCTGAGGTCTGAATGCTGGATAAACTCATTAGAAATGCCAGCAGGACGTGTGAACTCTCTCATGTTCAGACTGAGGTCGCTCGCGTATGGGCGATTATTTCATTGATTAAATCTGCTCTCAGTCCTCTGGCAGAGTTACTCCAAAAGCCAGTGCTAATCTCTCCAAATTAGGACTATTGTCTGTGTGTGATAAATCTGCCGAATTAAGACCGTTAACTGATTGTTTTGTGGGGCTTGTGTTGCACTAGTCTACTTAATGAGTCCTTATCTCTCTTGGGACTCTCTTCTTCACTAATCCTTCCAAGAGGAAAGTACGAGGCCTGAACATGAAGTAACGTGTCAGTGTTCCCTTACAGTGTGAGTGAGTTAATCATGGCGACAAATAATATAAGAATATGATTGCAGCCATACGTGCCAAACTAAATATTAATTCCACAAATTCCCAGTCCCAGTTTTATCCCACCTGCGTTTCTGCAGCACCTTGATGGGGACATGGCCCGGCTGTATGCAGACACTGGGATTATCATCTGATAAAAACCTGCGGGTTGTTCCTCCAAAAGACGTATCTCTGAGCTTCCGCTCATCATCCTTGTAACTCGCCAGCTCACCCCTTTCCCAGTGCCGACGTGCACAGTGGGTCCAGGGAAGAGGCAGAGACCAGCAGAGCCACCTTACAGTGATCCTGCTGGCAAAGGGACTTTTGAAGTATATCTAGTATATCTCGTTTCCGTTTGGGCATTTTTAGAACCAAGAAGTCCTAAGGAGCCTTGCTGTAATTTCCTAGTGTGGCGAATGCTTCGGTACAGGGGGGAATGTCAGTGTTTAGTGGTGTTGCTTAGTTTCTTAGAAACAATCAAAATTCTCTGTTTTTCTTGCAGTGAAAGAACCAGAACCTGAAGCTGCAAAGAAGACTAAGTGAGTTCATGTTTTACGTTTTTGTTACTTTAATACTTTGCATGTCTTAATTCTAAACGGATAATGCATTACTGTTTGGTGCATTTGTTGAAGGTCTGGGCGTTTCTCAAGTGTTGCCTGTTTTTTTGCCTTGTATTTCAGCATGTAAAAATCAAGATTTTTTTCTTCATAGACCAGCCTTTATAAATCTCTTGTTTGTGCCGTCCAGTATTAATGCTTGTGCAGGAGTTTGAGCTTTTTCCGTGAACTTGGATTGGTTTGGTTTTCTGTATGAGGTCAGCTTGTCAACGTGTTTTCTTTTCCGACATCTAACCAGGCGTTTTTTGATTGGCAAGTGTGGATCAGGTTTCAAGATGTAGCTGGAAAGTATTACCATTCTAGATGGCGAACAAGTGTCAGCTGTCTCGCTGCTTTGGACCGAGTGTGGTGTTCATAGAGAGGGGGGGACTGGCTAGCGGCTAAATCCGACTGATTTTTGCAGTCCTTGGGAGTCTCTCTACGGACTTGGCTTAAGACCGGATCAGCTCTTTTGAAAGAGGGGAAGGAAACGCAGGGACGTGTGTAGTGCATGGTGATGGCATGCTTTGGCTTACTTGTGAAACTGCTCGAGGACAAACTTTCTTTCTTTCCTTCTTATTTCTCTTCTGTCGCTTCTTTCCACAGGGAAAAGATCCCCAGCCACGTCTTTAGCCCCAAATACACAAAATTACGTGACTGGCACCATGAAGTCTCAGCACGTGTTCTTAATGTCCAGTGAATTTACCCACGTTGCACAAGCAAAATACAAACATTTACTTCCTTTCTTCTTTTCCACCTGCTTTGCAAAAAAAGAAAAAAGAAAATGCGTTTCACTAGCCTTACCACAAGAGAAATTCTAGCTTTTTCTATACTTTTCTAACACTTTCCTACTGATGTGTAAAAACGAGGTGAAAATGTTTTTGTGCTAATCACTAGTTGACAAAAAATACATGTTTTAACCCGGAACGACTTGGGTGACTGAATCTTCCAAAGTGGGGGAGGAGACGGCTGTTGCAGTTCTTTTTTGCCTTAAAGGAGTCATTTGCCTTGCTGAGTTTGAGTTACTGTAGGTTGTTAGAAAGCAGAAAACAATGAACAAAAGAACAAGAAATGGGATTGTTTTGATTTGGGGGGGGGAGAAGGAGAAGAGGGACTGAATACACTTATGTCAAACTGTTGTGCCTACCAGGATAACCTCTGAATTCACTAGCTTTTCAGCAGGCCAGTTTTAGAGTGGTTGTAAATGTTTTATGAAGTAGAGCGAGAAGACAGACCGCTTTTGAGCAGGAAGAAATTTGCCAATATTGAATGTCGTAGCGCAAGTTCGGTATAAAGAGCCTGCTGCTTGAACAAGTAACCTGTTCGTATTGTGAAAAAAACAGGGAAAACGGAGCAGAGTGCCGCTGAGTACGTGTAAAGGGCTTCGGTACGTAACCTCTCACAGGAATAAGATAAGATGGGTGGTATTTATTTATTTCAGAGTGAAGCTCTTAGGATTTCTTGTGTTCATAAAAGCTTCATGGCCCTATGGTTCTCCTGTAAAATAATGTATTATAGTAGCTACACATTCATTAATTTATGCTTTCTGAAGCTTGAAGAGTATTTTAATAAAAGCTGCTTTTAACTTAGTGCTGTCTGTTTTTTTTTTTTCTTTCTTTTGAGTCCCTCCGACTCCTTAACAGTCTTCTCTCTTGCCAAGAGCTGTAGCTTCGTAACCCCTCCACGGATTGCGGTTAAGAGAAATAACTGCATCCCTGCTGCGTGGCAGGAACAGCCCGAGTCGTACAAGAATAAATATCGGAGTAGCAGAGTCCCTGACTGTGTTAAAAACGTGTGGTATATTTCTGTGTTTTCAAAACCGACACCAAGATTTGCAGAAGTCGGTCAAGTGGCTGACCTTTTGGGGTGCGGCGGGGCCAAGAGCTCGGCTAAGCGAAATTCGCCGCCAGCTTGTAACGTTTACTGGAAAGTTTCCAACCTCCGAGGTGAATTGTAAAGCGCGTTTAGAAGCCCAGTCGTTGCGACTGGCCCGCTTTTGGTGTGAAAAGCCTGTCCTGCGAACAGAGCAAGGTCCACCGCAGACGCTTTGGTCGACGCAGGGGCGGTGGCGGGGCGTTGCTTTGTTTCACAGCTTTGAAACCCAGAGGAGGGCCGACCCCAGCCGAAAGCCTTTGGAGCTGGTGTTTCCTTTTCAGCTGGTTGGTGTCGGCCTGCAGCGCGGCAGTAGCTTACGGTGTTTGTCGTTTTATCTCTAGGGAGAGCCAAACGGAGAATGGAGACTTCAGGTAACGGCCCAGTTGGCTAACGCTAACAGTCACCCACCTGGACGTATAACAGGGCACAGCGCAGAGCACCGTTACGATTGCACCCGTAGTGACCGACCAAAGCAAATCACATCTTACACGCCTTTGACGTTTAACTCCATGGGGGGGGGGGTAGTGGGGGGAAAGCGTTCCCTTTAGTGATCTCCCTAAAGATGGTCTTTGGGTGAGAATTGCCGTTCGGTTGGTTTGGTTTTTTTTACCGCGTAACCCAGTTGGCTGACTCATGCGTTACTAAAACGAAGCATGTTAGAGGTACTGATACACCACAACATGATCGCTCAGTAGAATGCTGCGTGTGAAAGCAGGAAGACAAAATAGCATGGTGAAATTGTTTTGCTGGTTCAAAGAGGGTTTTTTTTTTTAATGAATGGAAAGGAGCTTAAGAGGATACCAGTGCAATGAAAACGATGAAAACTTATCACTTAGATCGTCTGTAAAGTATTCTTCCTAAGGGTAGAATGATATTCAAGCGTTTTTACGTTTTGGAAATGTTCCTAGGTGGTGAGAATGTCTTCATGCTGGTATTTAATTTACCATTGTATGTGTCTTACCTAGCTTTCAGCCCTTTGAAGAATGAGTCGCTTTAGTGAGAAAGGAGAAAACGCCTCCCTAAATAATCCGAAAAGTAGATAGCTCTGTTTTGCTTGAAAGTAAACGTAGAAAGCCACAGAGTGTATCTGTTGAGAGAATGAGAATAGTTCAGGAAGAACTACCAAAACTATTAGTAACGAGTAGCTAGGTATGTCGCTCTCTTATTTCCCTTATTAAGACAGCATGTATTTTAGCAAAAATATTTTCAAGATGGCTAAGTGAATCTCTGTATTCAGAAATGTGAGGTTGACCTGTGTTGAGAATGAAACTTTTGCAAAGGTGCCATGTTACAATTACTACTTCTCCAAAGAAGTAACAAAGCTGTAAAAATTCATCTTTTTACGTATGTATCCCAGAGGTTGTCTCTTAACAGTAACATCTCAAATAACATCCCGAAAGAATAACGTGAAGGGAAGCAGCCCTTCGGACTCTATTTCCCATTAGCCTGCTCCTTCTGCCTTGAATAGCTGCCCTGCTTCTGGTCCCTGACTGCCTGTGGTTTATCTGGATTGCCTGTTTCTGTAGTATTTCTCTGTATGGGGGTACATGTGTTACATACATAAGTCCGTACATATTTCCATGAGTTTTGTTGACGGACCGTGGTGCCCTTGTATTTACTGCTCTAAAAATGTCATCTCTTCTGCCAACGTCCCCCTCGCACAACACTTGCTGACGCTAAATTCTGGGTCTGGGCTTCCTAATTGTTTCCATAATTATTGGAATACTTCAAAATACCCAAAATGAGATTGCAAAATGGCCTGCTTTTCCATTCGGATGTGGATAACGTGCCTCAGCTCAACTCTGATTGCCAGTATACATTGGATCTTTGGAAAGCTCTTCTGATGTGCTTTTTTGATATAAATGAGTAAGCCTAAAATTAAATGATCAGCTGGAAGTCAGGGTATGATATTATCAAACAACAGAAAAGAAATTTCTCTACCGTGAGTAATTTACCACTGAAAATCCCAACTTTTCAGGTATTGTCGAAGACAAATGTCCTATGGGGTTTTTTTATTTTACTTTTCTAGTTTCATTTATCCCTTAACTGTAACCTACTGGGAATTTTTGTGTGGATGAACAGATGTTTCTTCAGCAGCTGGAAAGAGAGCAAACTGAAATAGAAAGCTCTTCCTGAAACCAAATGTGTAAATTGTAGCTCTTAAACAAGTTACTTAAAGCTTAAAAAGGCAAAGTCTAGCTGTTATGTAAAGTTTATTTACATGCTTTAGTAACCGATTTAGTTATAATTCCACAACAGTCAATTTCCAAGCATGTTTCTGATGTTGAACACTTCTTACCATCTCATTTTGACCCAACCACCAAGTACTGATTTAGTTTTGGTCTTAGAAACGTAGAATCAGCTAATTGTCTTGAGTGAGGCTGTGTCTGGATTTTCCAGATTTAGAGTTCACCTAATCTGTTGCCACTAGGAAATGTTTGTCCTGCTCTCGCTCTGTCCTGGAACAACCTGTATCATAAATCATGTGACTTTTTTTTTTCCCCCTCCACATCATAAATATTTGTAAAGCACACCTGCAGATCTGCCCAATGGAACAGGAGCCGAGGAGTCCCCTGTTAATCTGAATAAAACCACTGTAGCTACTCAGACTTTTGAGATGCCACCTGCATCAGAATTGCCATCAACACCTTTACCACCTATAAGGTCGGCTTCGTGGTCGTTCCTAACTCTGTTCAATAATTGCAGCACTCTGAGGCTACCTACTTTAATTAAGATACTTCATCCTGCATGCTAATGAAAGACAGTGAAATCCTACTCACGTAGCTTGTGGTTGTGATTCCTCTGTACCTTGCACTTTGCTTTTGCACATTGCTGTGAGATGTCTGATATGTGTTCCTCTTGAAGTAGAGGGCTTTTATTCCAACGTTTTCTAGGTTTTTCTTGTCACGGCTGAGCAAACGGCGGGAGATGGAAAGAAATAATAAGCAGTACATACTCTAACCCTCACAAAACTAACACTCTAAAGAACCCACAGCAAAGAGTATATACAACTTTGGGAATTAATCCCACCACCGGTTGTGGCTGGTTCTTATCTAGTATTTCCTGAA